AGGTCTTGCTTTCCTCCTGCAGAGCTCCAGTAGCTGCAGTCTGGAAGCGCAGATCTGTTTTGCAGTCTTGAGCAATTTCCGGCACCAGCCGCAGGAATGAAAGTGTACAAATCAGTTTCACCAGGCCTGTAACAGTGAGGTTTCTCTACCCCCCTAGTAGAGGGCACACTCTTGTGAGCAGCTGGTGTAGCCAGTTGCTTCTTTGATGCTTGACCATGGGTGGATTTCCTGGCAGTCTGTGTAGAGACCTCCTTACTTACCCTCCTCTGCCGCTGGAGCTTGGCGAGCTAGAGGGCGCACTGGCTTTGGAGAGCTAGAGAGTGGTGGTGGCGTGGCAGCAGCCTCTTCACACACAGATAGGGTTTCTGGAATATCACTGTGGAGGGGGAGGCAAGGGGGTAGGCCCTGACGGCTGCCATCCAAAGACAGGTGGGGAGGTCGGGCGACCCCGCATAGGACAGCAGAGCTGTGGGAATGACTAGGCTCAGGCAGTGCTACCCATGTGCGTGTGGTACCTCCAGGCTGTGTTGGGACTGTCCTGTGGGCCTGAGGAAAAGGTCAGACCTCTGTGGCTGGGGCTGGTATTGTTCCTGAAGGGATAGGCATTTCTGTCTTCATCCATCCTCCAAAGACACGGGTCCTGATGTGACAAATGGTCTGCCACCAATGTCGGATGGGCCTTTGAAGGCGCTTCCTCACTGCTCCTTCAGTCTGGTTCTGACCCTTGTACGACAGGGCTGATTTTGAGAGTTTCCTCAAGTGCGTTGAGAAATTGGCATGTGGTAGGCAAAGCAGGCCTCGCCTTGAAGAGGGACTGATCCAGAGCTGAGAGGGGTTAGCGTTGCCTGCTAAACGGTGGCGAATTTCTTCGCATCGCTTGCTTCTGTTGCAGGGCCTGTGGTCAGCCCTTAGTAAGGGTCCAGCCTTACCTCGGCTGTGGAAGTAGGGGAACGGGTGGGTCCTGACTGGGGCCGCAGTGCACCTCTGAGGCTCCTCTGCCTGTCTTCAATTCAGCTCTCCCTCCTACCCCACCTTTGGAGGTGGGCTTGCTTGCTTTTTGTCTTTTGGAAAAGTTTTATTAAGATATGTTTAACATTTCATACACTTTTCCCATTTCAAGTATACAGTTCAGTGTTTTTAGTATATCCACAGAATTGTGCATCCATCACCACAATCCATCTTAGAACATTTTCACTACCCCTCAGAATAAACCCTGCAAGACTTAGTTGTCACCTCCTAATTCCCCCCCTCCCCTCAGAACCCTAAGCAACTACTGTGCACATTCTACTTCTAGGATTTGCCCATTCTACTAGACAGTTCATATAAATGGAACCACGTAATATGTGGTATTTTGTGACTGCCTTTTGACACTTAGGATTTCTGGGGATCATCCATGTTGCAGCATGTACCAGTGCTTCATCTCTTTTTATTGCTGAATGGAACAAATTTGCCCCGTTTTGGTCATCCATGTGTCACTTGATGATCATTTAGGTTTCATTCTTTGTCTATTTTGAATAATGTTGCTGTGAAAGTTCATGTATTAGTTTTTGTGTGGACGTATACTTTCATTTCTCTCAGGAGAATTCCTAGGAGCGAGTTAGCTGGGTCATCTGATAACTCTGCTTAGTCATTTGAGTAAGTGCCAGACAGTTTTTTGCATCGGCTGCACCATTGTACACGGATATAAGGCTATATATCCGCCCACAGGATATAAGGGTTCTCCTATTCCTACATCTTCACCAACATTTGTTCTTATTTGTCTTGTTTGATTATAGCCATCCTGATGGAGGGGAATTGATATTTCATTGTGCTTCTGATTTGCATTTCCCTAAAGGCTACTAATTTTTAGTATCTTTTCATATACTTTTATTTTTTTAATGAAGATGTATTTCCTTGCCAAGTGTGATCTTTGGTCACATTTCAAAAGGGAAACCCTATTTCAGCGTGTTGATGAGTGGATGGGAAGCCAGGAAGTGATCACTGTTCTTTTAGGAAGTGATTTTGCCATGTCTGGGTTTTCTTTTTGCCCCTGGCATGTATCACCTGGGTGGGTCCTGCCTCTCCCCAAAGCCAAGGCAGAGAAGCACCGCCTACTATTGGGTTCTTGCTCAGTTCTTGGGCCTGCTCTTTCCTTTGCTTAAACTTTGCAGCCTTGAGTGGCTTCTTCAGGGGTTCATTGGAGGAAGCAAAGCAAGGCTTCTTGTATGAAAGCTGACAGGTAATTCCTGTCTGCTTTGGGGGCTCTCCTAAAATAGCAAAAGAAAATTACCGGAGGCTGTCTTTCTTGGTAAGCATCTTGTTTGCTTGCTCTGGGAAAATCCCTTCAGCCCTGGGGTGACATCGGCTAACTGGCATGGCTTATTGAAAAGGAAGTGCAGCCACTTCCTGGGGTGGAGGGGGGCCTTCTGAAGCCTCAGGCCTTGAGGATGGGAGCTCTGTCTTGTCCCTGTTCAGTCCCCGGGGCCTGATGGCCGCACATGCTCAGTGCATCCTTGCAGCGGTGAACGCAGGTGCCTCTCAGCTGGCCCGTGTGAGAACAGGCTGAATGAAGTGCCACTGAGCCTGGGTAACCAGCTCATTCAGTCTGTGGGGGTTTTATTGGTTCCCTGGCCGCAGCGTTCTCTGAGAACACAAGCGGGGAGTCTCTTAAAGGTGTCGTGGATCCCATAGAGAAACTGGTAAACAGGCGAGGTAGACAGTGTTTTACAACCTCAGGCTAGGAGGGGGCATCATACCCTGGAGGGAGGGGAGGAGTCTGAGCAGATGGGAATGGAGCTGGGTGGGGGTGAGGAGGGGGAGACAGGCTTGGTTTTGATGATCCGCATGATGTGGGGCAGGCTCAGCCAGGTCTGGGGAGCAGCTTGAGGGAAGACAGGGAGACCCTGGGGGTTAAGGGGCTAGCAGACTGGCGATGTGGAGGGTTTGGTGGGCCAGAGGAGCTTATGGGATGAGAAGAGGGAGATACCGCCACACGGACTGGCAGAGCCGTGGCGCAGCACAGTGAAGGCATCTGCCTGCGTTCGGGGCTCTCAGACGTGAGCGGGCATCAGAATCGCCTATTGAAGCACAGGTGGCTGGGTCCACCCCTCCTCCCACCTGCTGGCCGCCTCCAGTTGCTGATTCAGTAGGTCTGGAGTGGGGCCTGAGAATTTGGTTTTCTCACTGATGTTCCTCCCGCTACCGAGTTGGGGACCACACTCTGGGAGCCACTGGCTTAGAATTCTGCAGTTGGAAAACTTTTTCTGTTAAGGGCCAAGAGTGAATGTTCTAGGCTTTCGAACTATGGTAGGATTTCAGTCACATGTTCTTCATTGCTTTTCACAACCCTTTAAGCCTGTTCAGACCATTCTTGGCCATAAACAGATTGGCAGGGAAGAGGAATGGTCTAGGGAAGGCAGGGCCTGGCTTGCTGCCTCCTGGGCTGGCTGGCCATAGATTCTCTCTTCTCTGCCATGTAGCCAACTGACCTTTGTCAAGGTAATCTCCGTGTTGTTTTTTCGTCTGTAAAAAAGACATAACATTAATAGTTCTTACCGTATAGGACTCTTTTAAGAATTCAGTGAGCTAAGGCATGAAAAGCATCTATCACAGTACCTGGATCATCACTAGAATTTATGTATCGTTTACTATCAGTACCAGGAGAGGTATTACCAGCTACTGATGACGGTTGACAGGTGAGGAAAAGAGAAAGGAAGACCAGCACAGATCTGGTTCATTATTGACCCTGAAAGCTAATTGCTCCAGGGTCCCCTATCATTTCTTCTTATGCTGCTCAGAAAGAGGAATCCTTTGACCTGCAACATAGGCACACTCAGAATACATCCTGGGTCTGTCCCTCGAAGGAGGGGATGCTCAGTCTCTGCTTTCAGACGCCTAAAGAATGGTGCCATTTGTGAGCCAGCTGGTTTGTGAGCCCAGGACTCTCAGAAGGGGGCCCACCTGTGCTATTGCAGTGCATCTGTAACCCATGCTTCAGCCTCATTTGTTGGGAAGGCTTGATTCAGGACCACAGTGCAGCCTGTGCTGATACCAGATAGCATCTGGCTGCATTGGTATTGAGAAGATGCCTTGTAACCTCTCATTTTGCCCCATGGTGTGAGTAAAAATGAGAACCACAAAAAAGCAGGCTGTCATGTGCCCCACATTTCCTGTGCTGAAGTGTGCAAGTGAGAAGTACGGTGCAGCTTTCACTTGTGTAGCTGGCACGAAAAGAGTCGGGTGCCCCTTGCACAGCCTCACTGCACCGCTGTCTGGGGAGAGGCCACCTGGTGGCCCTGAGACTTTCAGCTCGGCTCCAGACACTGCTACTGAAAGCTGACCATGCTCAAATGATACCAGTTGCAGGGGGGCTCGCTCCTTTCCTTGTCTGATTACCCCCTAGGGGGCATCCACTTTCTGGCTCGCCTCTCCAGCTACGGGCTCTACTCCTTGCCAGAGCACAGAATCATGACTTGGTAAGTTCAAGTTTCACAGGCACCGAAGTGCCTGCTGGTGATATGACTTCACCCTCCTCTTGGGTTTTTGCTGACACTCAGTGAAATATCCTTCCATCTCCTCCCCACCTTGCAAAACAAATTTCCTGTTTTGAACTTGGTCCAGACTGGAACAGCCCTGCTACTACACCTGTGAACACGCGCAGACACACATTCCTCCCCTCCGTATTTGTACAGCTTTCTGTCGACCGGCCAGATTTCCCCTCTCGGCTTACAGATCCCAAATCATAACACAAGATAGGCTACCAGCAGATGAAGAAAAAAGGAAGTGCACGTTTCAGAGCTGTTTGAGTGAAAACAAGGCTCTGGTTTATTTCGCCGTGTTTTGCCACCAGGACTCTGCTAACTTTCCCCCTTCTTCACAGCAGGATGGAAACAAGGCAAGGAAATCAGCTGATGCAGGAGCCAGAGTGAGTCGAGGAAACCCGCAAACCCAGCCAGTACCATGAGCTCGCGTCTCCCCTCTGCGCTGTAGGAGCCTGGGGCAGGTGAAGTCGGCAGAAAGCAATGGCTTTCTTCACTCCGTGGAAGCTGTCCTCTCAGAAGCTGGGCTTCTTCCTCGTGACTTTCGGCTTTATTTGGGGTATGATGCTCTTGCATTTTACCATCCAGCAGCGAACTCAGCCCGAGAGCAGCTCCATGCTCCGGGAGCAGATCCTGGACCTCAGCAAGAGGTATATCAAGGCACTGGCCGAAGAAAACAGGAACGTGGTGGATGGACCCTACGCGGGGGTCATGACGGCCTATGGTAAGTTCTGCGCTGCCGGGGCGCCTCCGTCCAATTCTGCTTTGCCTCCGAGGGACCCCAGAGGCTCTCACACTTGGTCATGGATTGAGCCTACCCCTTGCCACTCCCTTCCTGGCGACACAGGGCGCACAAAGGGATGCCTTGAGAAAGCTAAAGCAGTGCCCTTTGGGAGACTCTGACCTCTTACACACACTGACGCGCAGTGCCCGGAGCAGTGGGGCTTCTCTCTCGGCGCTCTGTTGGTTGTATTTGCAGCTGGCTCCTCTTCGCTGGACACATGGCTGGATTGCATGATCTCATTTGGGAGGATGTTCAGGGAATGTAGAAAAATAGTCTCATTATTGTTCCCTAAACAAAACTTAATTAGGACGGGTAGGGGCGAGGTAAGGAGGGTGAGGAGGAATGTTCTAGGCCTGCCAGAAAACTGAGAGCCAAATGTGTGCCTCCCTCCGGCCAGTACGCACGTCATCAGAGCCTACGTGCTGATCAGTAGCTTTAACCTTGGGCTTCCTCACAGTTTATGGCTCTCTCGTTTCTCGTCTCTGATTGCCCTCACTTTGAAAGAGATCTTTTGGTACTCGTTGCTTTTTTTGTCAGGTGCTCGAAATTCTTTTTGAAATGAGGTTGAGTGAAAAGATATGCATATGGAATATTATTTTTCTTTCGGCAAAAGTTAGGCTTAATATAGAAAAGTTGGAAGCTGTAGACAAACCAAAAAAAAACAAGATTAAGGAAAATCACATATAAATCTACTACTGTGGGAAATAACCACAATTAACATTTCAGTGTATATCTTTCTGGTATATATGTATATGCACACACACTCACAAACATATATGGACACAAAATATTTATCAAAACATACACAAATACAGTATGGGGGCTTCCCTCATAGTTTAGTCGGTAAAGAATCTGCCTGCTATGCAGGTGACCAGGTTTGGTTCCTGGGTCAGGACGATCCTCTGGAGAAGGGAATGGCAACCCACTCCAGTATTCTTGCCTGGGTAATCCCATGGACAGAGGAGCCTGGCAGGCTACAGGTCATGGGGTTGCAAGAGTCAAACATGACTTAGCGACTAAACCACCACACACATGCAAAACAAAAATTGCAAATGAAATTCGGATCAGACCGTGTTTCGGAGAATCCAAGTTGCAGCCCTCCCATGATCACTGAATATTTGAGTGGACTTGGTTCACAGTGGATGACCTTTGTGAAGTTGTGCAGTGACACTTGTGGCCGTTGAATGGAGACTTCAGTGGCCTCAAGGTTTGGAACCTGAGGTATAATATAAATCAGATACAAGGGTGGGGTTGGTTGAAGTGGGAAACATTGATGGACTACTTTAGCGTTCAAATGACGATTCTTGAAAATGTGTAGCAACAGGTTGTTGAACTTTGAGTTCAAACAGAGGAGTTGTTATTTAGTCACTGAGTCATGTCCAACTCTTTTGAGACCCTATAGACTGTAGCCTTTCAGGCCCCTCTGTCCATGGGATTTCCCAGGCAAGAATACTGGAGTGGGCTACCATTTCCTTCTCCAGGGGATCTTCCCAACTCAGGGATCGAACCCATAGAAGGATTCTGTACCACTGAGCCACCTCAGAAATCCTACTCGATTGTACATATACGTTTTCTTTCTTTTTAAAAGAAATCTAAGAAATATGGTTACTTTTTAATTATATATATATATATATATATTTTTTTTTTTTGGTAAGGTGGAAATGGTTGTTTTTCACATACAATGTGGACTTTCTTTTTCAGTGCCCACTGTTTGAATGATCACACAATCTGCTTTTAATCCAGTCTTTCAGGATTTGGCAGTGTCTGTTGGCACTGGTTTTTTTAATACGTCTAAATGTCACCTTTCTTTGATCTGATGAATCAAAAAATGAGACTAGTTTGAGAGCTGATGTTGGAAAACAACTAGGTAGTTTTTCGGAGGGTGCATTTTAAGTTACATGTTGACTTGAATCTTCTGTATTAATACCCCAATATTATAGGTAAACCACCAGAAAAAGATAAATAAAGCAAATTGTCACTATTGGTGTTTCTATTGTGTTACAAGTAAATGTCACGAGTAAAACAGGTGCTGCTTTTCCAATTTCTGGTTCAGTGTATTCCTTATTACACATTTAGCGAGAAAGGGGTCTAGTCCTGTAGTGATTTCCTCCTGTTTCTCTGTCTCTCTCAAATCTTCATGGAAAGGAAAAACCACTTGAATGGCAAATGCATAGAGTTTTTTCTTTCTAGTTGTTTGCAGCAGTTTTATTTCTTGTGTACTGCTAAACATCTCATAGCGTGAGTTTTCTCCACACTAAAGAGCAATGATCTTAGCTTTTCAGCCTCACAGGGACAGTATATATATATTTTTTAGAAAGTTATCAAAAACTTCAGAGTAGCCTAGTTAGAATATCAACCACTTCGTATATTTATAATCATAAGACTTTGGAGCTCAAAGAAACTACGGAAATTTATTTCCACTTTCTCCCTTTACAGAGGAATTTTAGCAGAATAATTCTGTTCCTCAGAAACAACAGAGAAACAACCAAACGGCAAGTCTAGCCTCTTTTTGTCTTTCATCTAATCAACTCAACCTGCCAATCAAAGTGGTCCTTGGAGCTGAGTTTCAAGAATTTAATTGGACTGTGCATTTGTGCTTGAGGTTTGGGGATCATCATGAGATGAAATCTTACCAAGACACAGGCTCTCTTCTCAGCACTATTGACATTTGGAGCTGGATAATTCTGTGTATGGTGTATCTTTTAGGATGCTTAGCAGCATCTCTGGTATGTGTATCCACCAGCCTCAAAAATGTCTCCAGGCTTGGGGGGCAAAATTTCCCCTCTCCCCACCTTAGAAAACCGCTGCAATAGACTGAAAACAGCAAACCCATCTAACAGCATCTTCTCATGGAAGTCCTCAAGCAGATAATTGAGTTTTGTTATTTAAATTTTGCCAGCTAGGTTCTCCTGGTTCTCATTTCTGGGCACCAGCAACTGGGATTGAGCCCGATGATATTATCCAGGCCCAGTCCTGGGAAGCTGGAGAGCCACTGTGAGGATATGTGCTTCCCCTGGAATCCATCACTAGCCGTTGTGGGCATGTTGGTAGCTGGGCAGCTCTGGTGGGTGAGGTTATATGTTGGATGGAGATACGGAGACTGCTGGATGTTCAGCAGTGTAGCTGGGCTGGAGGCGTGGGCATGAGGATGCATGAGCCGTTGGTTTGCAGTGTTTTTCTGCCACAAACACAGCCCATGCACAGAGCACCTCCTGGACATCTGCTCTGGGACAGTGAAGAGCTGACCCTCAGTGGCTGGGACCCTGTCTGGTTTGAATGAATCCAGTTAACAGACCACCTCCCCCTCAAAAAAAAAAAAAAAAAAAAAAACCTTCCGTCTCTCATCCCATATTGGTATAATCAGAGGCTCTTAATATGTTATAATTTGTCTTCAGTAGCTGCAGCAGGTGTTTGAAGAACTGTAGTAGGTGATTTGGGGGCTTCCTAGGTGTCACTAGTGGTAAAGAATCTGCCTGCCAAAGCAGGAGACACAGAGACGTGGGTTTAATCCCTGGGTCAGGAAAATGCCCTGGAGTAGGAAACGGTAACCCACTGCAGTATTCTTGCCTGGAAGTTTCCATGGACAGAGGAGCCTGGCAGGCTACAGTCCAGGGGGTCAGAAAGAGTTGGACACAGCTGAGCACACAGGCCCACTGTAGATGACTTTAGATTATTGCTGGCTTATTAACATTTCTGACTTGAGATGCTGGAGCAGGAGTGTTCAGCACACTATGACCCGTGGGTCACATCTGGAACTCTGCCTGTCTTGTGTAAATAAAGTTTGACTGAAATCCACACACTGGCATTTGTTTATAGCAACTAATAACAGACAAACGTGACAATACCAGGATTTGTTTCACATGACATCTGAAGTGTGCTGACTCTATCTTTCAGGAGGCGCCATAGTTCATTCTGAAATGCTCATCTGATCATATCCCTCCTTGTGTCAACACTTTCCCAGGACTCCCATGGCCTTGGGCCAGATCTTCTTGTTTTCATGTGGCTTTGGAAAGATTTGGAACCCAGCATTACATTGTTGTGTATTGTCTGTGGCTGTGTGGTGCAATAGTTGCAAAGCTGAGTGGCTGCTGCAGAAGGTACAAAAGCCTAAGATGTTTATTCTCTGGTCCTTTGCCAAAAAGGTTTGTCAGTTTCCAACAGGATTGCAGTTGGTTGTTCATTTGAATAATCCTCAGACAACAGTAGAAGAACTTTCAAATGCCGTCTCCTCCTCCCCCAACCCTGGTCTGGTGATACGAAAAGAGATTTCTGGCTTTCTTTTGGGATTCGGCCCTTCAGGAGCAGTGCCGGGAAGAGGTCCCTGGCAGCCTGCATGGGGCAGTTGGAGCGCTCACCCCTGGGGTGTGGAGGGCATTTCCAAGTGCTCCTCGGTCACCGTGGAGAGGAGTGTGTAAAGCCAGCGCCAGCACAGCTCAGCCTCCAGCGTGACCCCCAGGCCCACGTGGCAGGGCCCCGCCTGTCCGTGACTTCTCGGGAATTGCATCACAAATGGTGTCATTCGCTCTCGTCGGTGCTGGGCTTGTTCTGCGGCAAACTGATGTCTGTCTCCAATGGCTTGACCCAAATTCTGATGCTCAGTGATCAGCTCTTCTTTAATAGGCCAGGCATGGTCCATCCTGTTCTCAAAGTAATAGAAACCTGGGCTGATGAGACACACCTCTCCCCAACCAAGGGGTCCATCCTCACCTCATTAACCGTGCCTCTTCTCACTTGATTCTCTGCATGGGGATGCTCTGACCTGGATAGGTCACCAGCTCAGGCTGAAGCAGTCGAGCACCCCCGCTTCTCGGCCAGCCCCCCACCAATATCCTGTTTCCGTGCTGCCTGCTTCCTCTTAGCCTCCAGGTTCTGTCCACATGCTGTGCCTAGCCTCCTGTCTCCCTGTTCCCTGTGCTCCTTGGGCCTGGACTGTCCCCTAG